GGACTATGGTGGTGGCACAGGGGTGATTTGGTGATGGGAAACCTGTGGGGATTACAATTGAGATGAAAAAAAAAATGTGCAAAATGATGTAAAAATAAACCTTTAAAAAAAAAAACAAAAAAACTCTTACCTTTGCATTCAATACTTGCTCAACTATATGGCAAAGAGGCCTAGCTTTTTGCATAGCTTAGCTTTTGACATTTCCTTCCTAAGCTTAATCATTGCTAGCTTTTGATTTAAATTTAGTGATATGAGAGTCTTCCTTTCACATGAACATGAGGTTATTGCCGCCTTCTTAATTGGCTGAATTTCAATACTGTTATTTTTCTGAGGCCCAAAGTAAGTGAGGGAGATAGGGAACACACACATTGTTGACTTAAGTCAACTTATTGACTAAGTTTGCAGTCTTATATGGGTGCAGTCCACAGCACCCCAAAATAATTACAATACTAATATGAAAGGTCACTTAATACATATCACTATAACAGATAATAATAATGAAAAAGTTGAAATATTGTGAGGATTAACAGTTGTGACATAGAGACAAAAATAGAGATACACTGTTAAAAACATGCCACTGATAGACTTACATTGCCATATACATCCAACTTTTAAAAAAATGCATTATCTGTGAAGTGCCAGAAAGGTGTGTCTGCACTGTAATTGCATGGTTCATGTTTTGAAATCATTTGAATTTATGATGTTTTTCTAGGGCACAATGTATATAGCTTTAAATAAAAGTTCTTTCGTAGCATTAGTTTCTTGTGTCAGGATGACAGTTCCCTTTTTTGAGCTTTCTCTGCGAACTTCATCATCTTATTAACAATATTAGTTCTTCTTCCTAATCAGATAATCAGTAGTTAATGAGCAGGAAGTAAATTGGGCACTAAGAAATAATACCACTAGAAGCATAGCAAAGAGTCAATAACTGAGATAATTACTTAGGGACTTGTAAATGGAAATTATTTTTTTTTGTATATTTATTGCAACTTTATAGCGACTTTATCTGATAATCAAGAATTATTTATATGTTAGAGCAAAAGGAAACCTTTTCCCACCCCATGTGGGCTCTTTTTTAAAGCTGGCTGACAAATTAAGACTAGATAGGTTAGTAAGAGAAAGGACCATAATTTAATAATATATAGGGAATTAACGTGGTTGTACATTTTAAAGAACAATGCAGCAAATCAGAAATATTTATTTATTTTGTGTTTAGGGACCTGTCACATCAAGGAGAGAGAGGAGGAAACTTCACCAAGGAGACAAGAAAGAAGTGACCTGATCTCTACTCAGAGAATAAAGATGAGATTCTCAGAGAGAGGACAATTTCATGGACCAACATGTATCCAGATGATCTGCTACATACTACATTCAGCTAAGTCATAAAGGGGAAGTAATGGCTGTTTCTTCTATTAGGAATAAGGGCAAAGGACAAATGTCTCTAAGGTTCATTGCTAGTAATTTTTTCTTTTTAATGGTAGACAACTTTTTATTTTTATATATTTTCTTATAATTAAAAATACATATGTAGATACACACACACATATATTATACCATTCTTCATTTTGTACCTTTTTTTCATCTCAGTTGTAATCCCTGTGGACTTCCTACCACCAATTCACCCATGTGCCATCACCATAGTGCAAAGCGTTCTCCAACCCACCCCAGCTGATTTTTGTTTTTACTTTATTACAATTGCTTTTTTTTTCCTGATCCCTTACACCCCTATCAGTGAAACTATCCGGTATTTTTCTTTTTTTCTTTCTGGTTTATTTTACAAAGCACGATCCCTTCCAGCTCTATCCATGTTGCCACAAATGGCATGAGTTTATCTTTTTGCTTGCTGAGTATTATTCATTGTGTATATGTACCATATCTTCTTGATCTAGTCATCTATTTTTGAGCATTTAGGTTGATTCCACATCTTCCATATTGTAAATAGTTCAGCAATAAACATAGGAGAGCAGATGTCTTTTTGAATTAATGTTTTTGTGTCATTTGGGTAGATAACTAAGAGTGGAGTTTCTGGATCATATGTAAGCTCCATTTTTAGCAGTTTGAGAAACCTTAAAATAGCTTTCCACAGTGGTTGTACCAGTTTGCATTCCTACCTCACTGCTAATAATTCATAATCTTCCGTTAGGTAATGACAACAGACTTCCCCATGGTCACTGGGTCTTCATGGGGGGAAGTGCATTGGACTATGGTGATGACACATGGGTGATGTGGTGGTGGGAAGCCCACAGGGATTACTACTGAGATGGAAAAAGGCACAAAATGATATAAAAATAAACTATTGTATTATTTAAAAAATGTTTAGAGTAAAAAAAGAGAAATGTTTGAAGGAATAAAGCAAACTCAAGGGACATGGACCCAGCCAGGGAGGTGACCCACATGGCGCAGCCGATTTCTTCTCACTCGCCCGCTGCTCTCCTCAGCAGTGTACTTCATCAATCTGCCTGCTCTGCTCCCCTGTCTGTCTCTGGTGAATCCTCTCACCACCCCTGCACCTCTGGTCTGTACCCCAGCTCTGTTTGCATAACTAAATAAATCTAAAAAAAAGAAAAGATATGGCAGTGCCGTTTTAATAAGAGTAGTCTGGGCAAGTTACTAAATAAGAGGACATTTAGACAATGATTTGATTGAACTGTGGGTGAAAGCTGGGTGAATGGAAATTCAGGAAGGAATTTTTAGGCAATCGCACAACCAGAGGAACATGGCTTCACCAAAGAAGAGGAATATCTGAGGTGTTGAGCAAAATGCCATTAGCAACTAACTCTAAGATATATAAAGATAAGTGTCTCCTGAACCACAGAGGTGATTTACAACTGACATTCATGGCTTCCCATAATCATGGGTCCTGCAATCTCATGGTTTCCTGGAATGTCAAAGCAGAAAAGGACCAGAGGCATATCTACTGTTCAGCTTTATGATAGATTTTTAAAATGGATAACCTTATGTCTCTCATTATCTACAGGATTTTAAGTTCTGCAAGGAAGAAACTTTGCTTCTCATTTTCCCTTTGAATTATTCAGGGAAATGTTAAGTGAGAACACCAATCCCTGAAGGCCCTTTACCCATTTCCAAGGGATATTTGCTTGACTTTTCATAGATTTCATTCACATGTATCACCCTGTGGTATATACTTACAAGAAAACTGTGCAGGAGGAATTATCCCTGGCTTGTGTTACAGTTGAGAAAGCTGACTACAGAGTGCATGAAATGAGTTGTCAAATAACCCACAATCAGAGTAGCCAAAGGAGAACTCAGAACTTCTGGCCAAAACCTGAGCTATTTCAGGCATGCATATTACTTTCCTAATTACTCAACTTGTTTTCAGACAATTTGTTGGCAAGAGGCAGGATTGCTAATTATACCAGGAACTTTCAAAGCCAAGGCATGTTGGGAATGAGGGTGTCTGGCAGGAGTTCTCTGAGTAATAGAAGCCAGCCCCTAGTGCTGGAGTTTGGAAAAACTACAGGCCCCCCAGTCTTCTTCTGGCTGGCAGGGAAGATGAAAGTCCCCAGCCATGGCCAGCAGTTTTGGAAGAAGTGGAGATTTTGTTTCCTTCCCTCCAGTTTGAGAACAGCTATGGTGAGTGCAGGTCCTTGCAGAGGTGTCTTCTGGAATGGACAAGTAGTTAGGAAACAGAAGTGCACAAATATCACAGGAAGTCTATGCTAGGCTCTGTGTTGACTCATTTTAAAATTCTCAGAAACAGGCTAAGTTAGGGTTTGGCCCTCATTTCAGATGAGAACTAAGGACCATGAGATGATCATTAATTACCTGCATCAGTGATAAATCACTTTTGATAACCAACCAGTTTTCTAAAGAGAAGAAATGAAGCAGACATAGCCAGACCGAGAAATCCATGACCCCTGCCCCTCAGTCCTCCTGCACATCACCCAGTATGACACCTCTGCACAGCTTTCCAGAAACTGTAAACACTAGAGGGCTATGGTGATGCTCTCAAATGCATGTCAGTGACTGAACTCAACAGACTGCATTGGGATGACTCAAAGAATCAGTGTGGTAACTGATCCTGAGAATGAGCTAGGGTTTGAAAAGGAAATACAACAATCACTCTTATTTCTGTTCTTAGTGAAGCTCAAAGCAAACAGGAAAAACATTTTAAAAAGCACCATGAGAGGGCCCTCTCTGGTGGTGCAATGAGTTAAAGCACAGCACTATGAAGCTATTGCAACCACTGCAACATGAGGCCCATCCCCAGCCAGGGAGCTGACCCACATGGTGTGGCAGACCTCTCCTGACCCATACGCTGCTCTCCTCAGCAGTGTATTTCAGTAGATCTGCCTGTTCTGTTTCCTGCTCTGCCTCTAGTGAATCCTCTCATCCTATGCACCTCTGGCCTGTACCCCAGTTCTGTATACATAAATAAATAAATCTTAAAAAAAAAAAGCAGCAAAAGAAAAAAAGACATGAGGCTGGGGGTAATGACAGCCCTGACAAGCATCATAAACATTAGCCTTGAACTGAACTATTTCCTTAAACTAGCGTTAGGAGGGCTTTTCCATTTGCCTTGAGTCAACTGAGACTAATGGCAAGAATGAGGAAGCAAGAGCCTGGAAACTTCAGTGAAATTTTTCAAAAGCGAACACAGACTTGAGAAAGACAGCAGAAGTTCCCGCTGCTGATGAACTCTACAGTGATCATGGAGAAGGGTGTTTCACTTCTAGTCAAAACCTAGAGGGTTTTTTTTTTTCCCAACATGACTTGTGCTCAGCTACAGCAAAAAAAAAAAAAGTTCTCTTATGAGGCAGAATAATGTATATCCAGACCATTCTATACTGGGAGGGTGGGGGTTGGGTTCAGCAAACAGAAAGAAGGAGAAGAATATTTCAAGAGAAAAATAATGTTTCAGCAGAAAATTATTTTAACCTACCAAAATGCTACCAGTGGTTAGATTATGAGTGACTTTATTTTCCATGTTTGCTTAACTCCTCTATTTTTCTTTGCAATGGACATACGTTAGATGTATAATTGAAAAATTAAAAGGGCCAACGTCAGAGATAGCAGGAAGGTGTTAAAACTAAAAATCTTTATTGATTTCTCATTTGGGTTAGTCTTTGTCCATTAGATTAAAAAATTTGAATCATGGGCCTCCCTGGTAGTGCAGCAGGTTAAAGCACAGCACTAATAAGTGAAAGCCACTTCAGCATGAGTTCGATCCCTGCCTGCCCCAGAGGTGACCCACATGGCGCGGCAGACCTCTCTTGACCCACCATTGCTCCCCTCAGTAGTGTACTTCAACGATCTGCCTGTTCTGTTCCCCACTCTGTCTCTGGAGAAGCCTCTCACCGCCCCCGCACCTCTGGCCTGTACCCCAGCTCTGTATGAATAAATAAATAAATCTTTAAAAAAATTTTTTAAAAATCTTAATCATAATGGTAATGAATCTATAGTAGCAGCCTACAATTTAAACTGTGGAAAAAGTCTTAATCTTTGAATAATAATCCAATTAAGTGCTAATAACTACTCAGTCCTTCAGACAAATGTTCTATCTTGAGCTCTCATGGATTTTTTTGGAAGTCCTATAGCTATACTAAATCAAGCATCATAAACATTAGCCTTGAACTGAACATATTTCCTTAAACTAGTGTTAGTAGGGTTTTGTCATTTGCCTTTACTCAATTGAGACTAAGCATGTCACCACTCAAAATAGCAGAGTTGCTTAATGATAAAGAAAATAGTTTTATTTTGGAATAAAATTGCACAAAGGTGTCACATGAAAAGGAGCTTATCTTTTAAATTTATGAAATCTCAAGCTCATCTATACAAACCACCACAAACTGATAGCTCCAGTTTGCACAAGTTTTTTGTGGGATTTTATTTCCCAATTCTATTGCAACAAAGGAGTGAAAGGCTCCTGTTGAATGACCACAGTTGTTATTCAACCCCCCAACAACTGTGCCCTGACCACTATCTCCTCCCAGTCTCTGCTTTCTTTGTCTCTGGGCCTCTGAGTTCTGACAGTCAATCTCTAACACAAGATAGAGACACCATTGCCCCTCCCAGACAGAGTATGTTTTTCAAGGATGACTTTAGGGAAGGAAAGTCCCTCCGAGGGACTGGTTTACAGTAAGTTCTGTCTCTGATTGAATCTTGGCTTATTTTCTTAAAGGACATTTACCCGACATGTAAACCTTATTAGCCACATCTGAGAAATTCTTGAGGTGAGAATTCAGCATTTGAATTGATAATGAGACAAATAAGAAGTGTCATAATTAAGCACCACATTAAGCTCATACTTAACTATGAATTAACTATATGTGTTTCTCAGAATAACATCTATTTGTACACATCTAGAGAAGAGATGGGCTACTTCCTTGTGTGGTCTATAAACAGAATTTCCAAATCTAATAATGTAATATTGATTATTTGCTCACCCACAGGCCTACCTAGGGAAAACATTCATCTGTATGTCTAAGTTCTAGAAAGTTTGTTTTAAAATATCAGTACTATGGGCCCTCCCTGGAGGCGCAGCAGGTTAAAGCACAGCACTAAGAAGCTAAAGCCACTTTAGTATGAGTTAGGTTCCCATCCTGGAGGTGACCCACATGGCACGGCAGACCTTTCCTTATCCTCCTGCTGCTCCCCTCATCAGTGTACTTCCTCAGTCGGCCTGTTCCGCTCCCCACTCTGTCTCTGGTGAATCCTCTCACTGCCCCTGAACCACTGGCCTGTACCTCAGTTCTGTATGCATAAATAAATAAACCTTTTAAAATTATATATCAGGAATATAACTTTGTATTTTAACCCAGAGATTTAAAAGTTGTACCTGATAATACTAGTATAATACTTACCCTCGCATTCAAGCATAATAGCAGAAAAAAATAGAGATGCAAGCTAATCGAGTGATTTGAAAGATTTAGAAATCTAAGTCGAAAGTGTACATTTTAACCCCTGACACTGAACTTTCAGATTGGTAAGGAGAGATGTGTTGAGGGGGCGCAAAAGGTGCAAGCCCCCCTCTGCCTTGCAAATTCTATCTCAGAATTCAGCTAAGAAGTAACAGAAGACAAAGAGGCACAGGGGAGGATGGTAGAAACAGAAATTAAAACCAAGTGTTGACACCAGCGAAACCTCCAGCTAATTCCTAAACTCTTAAACATACAAACTGATTTTTTATCTCTTATCATATTACTTTTAGGATGGAGATTTTTATTTTTTTAAAGATTTATTTATTTGTACATACAAGAACTGGGGTCAAAGGTGCTGGAGAGGATTCACCAGAGAGAGTGAAATACACTACTGAGGGGAGCAGTGGGCGGGTCAGGAGAGGTCTGCCGGGCCATGTGGGTCAGCTCCCATGCTGCACTGGCTGTGGATTGCTTCATAGTGCACTTTAACCCACTGCACCACCAGGGAGGGCCCCAGGGAGAGTTTTAGAGAAGACACTGTGCAAGTCCCCAACTAGAGGAGTGACTGGCCCTTGGCATTCCACCAGCTCAAAGGATGCAGAAATGTTAGAGCTAATTATGCCGTTTCCAAATCCTATGCTGTCTTGCCCTGTCTTCCCTACCCCAGTACCCAAACACGTAACCCTATCTGGACAGAAGCTATCTGTCATGAAGAAATTAAATCCAAATGATATCCATAGGGTATGTCCTAATCCAACATGGCCACTATTCTGTCCTAAGTGGACATTTGCACACAAAGGGATGATGATGTGAAGATAGGAGAAAAGCCTGGGACAAATCTTTCCCTGAATAAAAGAAAGGGGGCAGGGTGGGTTGAGAAAGAGAAAAGGAGTGGGGAGGTAGGAGCGAAGGGAGGGAAGAAGAAAGGTTCTCTGCCAACCCCTTATCTTGGACATCCAGCATCAGAACTGTTAAGAAAATAAACTTCTCTTGTTTAAGCCCTCCGGTCTGCGGTCCTCTGTTACAACAGCCTCAAGACACAGAGACACAATCAAACTGCAGTTTCTATTCCCACAGACTTTGGCTTGAGACATGCCAGTGGTGAATGTACACTTGGGATCCCTCATAACTGAGCACAACTGTCTTCCTCTTTAACTATCACTGAGCTAAACAGACAGGAGATTTCAACTGATCTTTAGGGATGGAGTCATGGGGGCTATAGAAACCTGCATTGTTGGTCCCCAGCCTTGCAGGCCCCTGCCTGGGCGGAGTCTCAGGGTCCTCTGCTGCCAGTGAGGAAGCTGAGGGGAACTTACTTTCTTACTTTTTATACTTTTAGTTACTAAAAAGCTCTTCAAGGAAAAAAATTATAAACAGCCTATTAATAGTTCACCAATTCCAATTATGTGTTGAACTTCCAATATTAGCATAAAGTAAAGAAATACTAATTTTTTTTAGAGGTACATCACTTAAAAAACAAACAAAAACGGCCCTCCCTGGTGGCACAGCAGGGTAAAGCACAGCACTAAGACGCTTAAGCGACTTCCGCATGAGTTCGATTCCCGCCTGCC